TTTCTATAGAATTTCCTTTTTTCCTTTTCTCCCACCCTTCTTCTGCAAGGTATTGTTACTATTTCTTGTTACTGATTTTTGCTGCAACAAACCCTCTTGTTTCAGTCACAGCAAGAAACAAAAACCCAAACAAACAGAAAACCCCTCTGAAAAGAGTACAAAACAAAAGGTTTGACCAAAACAAAAAAAAAGGGGGTGGGGGGTGGGGGGGGAGGGAGCTTGGTTTTGTTTTTAAATAGGACTGAAGATTAACATTGAAAAATCAGGAGATGATGTCCAACCCTTTGTGCAAGGCAAAGCCTCCGGTACTTCCGACTCTGGTTTCTGTTTTAAATTCCTTTTTCTCTTCTGGGTGCTGATACTCCTCTCGATCCTCATGTTGTTGGTGTTTTGTGTTTTGTGTTTTTTGTTTGTTTAACTTTGTGTCACTACCTCAGTTTGCCCTCATGTCCCTTACACACAAGCAAAATACTCCTTCAGCGGAGCGAAGAGGTGGCGGATGACCGGCACGCTCCACGACCGGCCCAGCAGTCTCTGCCTCGCCAAGCGGCTCATGTTGGAGACGTCGGTATAGTGGACAGGGAAGCCAAACACCCTGGGGAGAAAAGGCAGAAAGGGCGGGGGTGAGCGCGGGCGGGTGCGATCCGGCTGCATCTTCCGTCCTGTGTCGCCAACCACGACTCAGGCACCCTGCCACCTGCCGTGGGCCTGAAGGGAAGGAAGCCAACCGCCGCCCGGCGTGGCCACATGACAGAAACAAAGTTAGCATCGGTGAAAGACACCTCCGGGGCGTGCTCTGCCGGAGACGGAGCCGCAGCAGGTACCTGGAGTCTATCCGTAATAAACACGCATCCCTAGGACCTCGCCCACAAGAGCAAGAACTCGACAAAGGAGCCGAACTCTTGCCCGACTGCAGGAGCTCCAAGCTTCCGTCTGCTCGCGTCGCGTATGTCAAGGGTCGCTTCGGCTAAACCGCAGTTACACTGGGGACCAGGAGGCCGTCTAGCCCGTGAGTCTGGTTTGCACCCAGTCAGGGCATGAGGGTGCGCGGCCCGCCTGGTCCTGTGCTGTCCTGGTTTGCACAGTTCCCGAAATGAGCAGCACTGATTCCTGGGAGTTTAGCCGGACCCCTGGGAGCCACGGCCCCCTGAGCCCACTCCTAGATCCCTCTGACCCTGGGCCCGGCCTTACAATGCACAGGAGTGTCCCCCTACCTCCAGGAACCTGCCCTGTTGGGAAATGCTCGGGGAGACCCACTGCTCACGTGGTATCTGGGCAAGCTACGAGCCCGGCCGGAAGGGGCAGCGATCCCTCCCTCAGAGGCTGCAACCGCCACGAGCCACGCATCCCACGACACCAGCACATGGCCTCGGGTACTACCTTTCCATTTCAGTGCACCATAAGATGTCCTCTTTCTCATTCATGAAGACGGGGAAATGCTGGTCTTTGCCTTGCTTTATGGAGTTCGACCTAGTAGTAATGGTCCGCACTTTGCTGAACTAGAAGATGAGGAGAGGAAAAGAGGAATGAGCACTCGTTCGCTGGCCATGCATCCAACACGTGTGCCAGGCATGGGCCGGGACGGGTGAATCAAACACGGACAAGGCCTGGTCCACACAGGTGGCCGGGGTAAGGCTCCAGCGCAGGCCTCCACAGACCCCACTGCCCTGCTCTTCTTCCCACTTGGAGGTCACCCGGCCATCCTCAGTCCAGGCTCGCTGGCCAAGGACTTGAGAGGGAGCAGCTCGCACCACTGAACTTCCTCAGTCTTCTAAGAATGGGTTCTTGCACACGTGTAGTGACTTGCAGGCAAAAGGATCCCGAATTACTGAGGGGCGCCCGCAGGGCTGGATGCCGGCGCCCCGACTCATGGAACCTGACGCCCGATACACTCACTCCGGGAGATTTCTCCAGAGAGAAATGCAGCTTCCACATCACAGGAGAATGCGCCGTCCTGAAGGCTTGTGCAATAGGTCCTGGCCCAAACGTTTAAGCGCCCTAGCAGATCCAGGGACTTTGGCAAAGACTTCTTAAGTGTCTGCTTCTCACAGGACCAGCAGGCGATGCTCAACGAGGGACTGAAGACCGGGAAGGATTTCTGATCTCTCTCCTTGCCCTCCAGGCTCTCCCCTGGGCCCTCCCCTCTGGCCGGCTAGGTGTACGACCCTGAGCCACCTCCTAAACTGTGTTCTCCGCACCAGCAGCGGACACTGGCCTGGACAGCACTCGGGCTCATCCTGCCCTCTCTGCCCTTCTCCCTACCCCCCAGCAGAGAGAGGGCTTTGGCACCGGGGCTAACCTTGGCTATTCTGCCGTGCTCCAGACACTCCTGCAGCTCCAGCTTATCATTCACAGTGGATGCCAACGGCCTAGGAAGCAGAAAGAGAGGTAATGACAGAGACCAGGAGACCAGCAGGGATGCAGTCAGCAGCCAGGACTCACACGGAGAGGTAAAAGGGGACTGTCGTCACCCGCACACACTGAAACCCCCTTCAAACTCCCCCAGAACATTCGCGCACACACTGCAGCCATCCACGGACAGCACACCAAGCGTTAACCCTTAAACCTAAATTCCACAGTGGTCTCAATCTATAAATAAGCAGATACCACCTGTCCACAAGAAGGAAAACCCAGGGCGCCTGGGTGGCTCAGTCCTTAAGCCTCTGCCGTCGGCTCAGGTCATGGTCCCGGGGTCCTGGGATCGAGCCCCGCACTGGGCTCCCTGCCCAGCGGGAAGCCTGCTTCTCCCTCTCCCACTCCCCCTGCTTGTGTTCCCTCTCTCATTGTCTCTCTGTCAAATAAATTTTAAAAAATCTTAAAAAAAAAAAAAAAAGGAAGGAAAACCCAATGACTTTTATGCCAGTCATCGTAAAACATACTGAGTTCTAAAAGTATCTGTCACAGGGTCACCTGGGTGCTCAGTCGGTTAAGCATCTGACCTGGGCTCAGGTGATGATCTCAGGGTCCTGGGATCGAGCCCCGCTTCGGGAATCGGCACTGAGTGAGGCCGGCTGCTTGTCCCTCTCCCTCTGCCCCTCCCCCCACCCATGGGCTCTCTAATAAAATCTTTTAAAAAAAAAGTATCCGTCACAAAGCAAGCTTTGGGGGTGACCAAATGTTCTGTACCTTTGAATACGGGGATGGCTGCATGGGTGTATGCTGGATGAAATTCATCGAAGCGTGCACCTGAACTGTACAGTTTAAAAGGCTTTAACTTCTGCACAGTGCCCAGAAGACCACAGTTCTGTGACACTGAATGTGTCACTTCTCAGAGAGCGGAGCAGATCACTGAACGTCACCTTTAGGGCTGACCTTTTCTGATATTTCACACAGCAGTCTACCATCTCAGCATGGGACCCAAAGGGACCCGTGGCCAAAGTGCACGCCTCCAGCCTCCGCCCTATTTATGCACACACACACCCCCTACATGGCCCCACACAGTACCTCTGCTCCACCTCGAAGCTCAGAGTTCTAGAATTTTAGAGTTGGAAGAAGCAGGTGAGAACAATCCCACAGGACCAAGGTCTGTGAGGAGACACTGAGTTCGTGGCTCCATGGAATACTGGACCACATAACCCAGTCTACTCTTCCAGGACACAGGTACAGCTGGGGAACCTAGGAAGGGGCACTCAACGGTCTGTAGGTCAGCTATCCCACGGACAGGTCTCCTTCCCATCAATAAACCTTCACAAAAGACAGCAGCTTTGTAAAGCGGGTATGAGACTGGGATGTTCCTACAACTTCATGCTAATGGCGGAGAGGGAGAGAAGACTGAAGCCAGATTAGATGATGTGAACAATTTACAGATACAACAAAGTTGACAATCCACTCTTAGAACATTCTGGAAAATATTTCCCTGCATAACAGATATCCAGATGGGGTGGATCTCACTCTGCTCTTGAACTGCTGACTCTCAATCAGAATTCCTTTCTCCTCACAGGCCTTTTTATAATCCAACTATGACACTGAAGAAATGAAGTTATCTTCGTTCCTAGACATGAACATCTCTCTCTGTGTAACCTAAATAAAGAACCTCCTCCCAACGATGGACCCGAAGCCACAAAGTGTGTGGCTAATAAGCAAAGCAGGATTCTCTAAAAGCTGCACCCAGCAGGTGTGGCCCAGCTGTGGGCACCACTCTTCCCCATCCCAACTCCACCCTCCACAGCTTCACCTCTGGAGACCGAGGACAAGCTGACTCCAGATACGTCACCAATGCACGAGAACCAACGATGTAACTCAGCAGCATGGTGATTCTCCTATTTCAACCACTAGCCATTGGTTTCTCAGGCAAATATTTTCTATACCCTCACTCCCCTTCTCCCTCAAGGAGAAGGAAACAGAAGAACATGGTAGAGCAGCAAGCTAGTCAGCGGGGGAGGGTGCCCAAGAGCGCCCACTCAGTGATCGCCTCCTCCTTGGGCCGAGCTGCCTGCAGACACCAACCCACTGCCTCCCCAGGCCCGAGCACTCTCACCAACCTGTTCATACCAGGAAGGTTCCCCCAGAAGTAGCGGGCCCTGTGTGCAGCTGACACTTCTTTGGCATCAATCATCACAGGGTTGGACTATAAAACAGGAGAAAGATTAAAGATGAGCGAGAGAGGAATAGCAGACGGTGCCAGGAAATTACGCTAGTTTGGAGCCTTACAGCCTCAGAGGTTCTTGCTTACTCCTCTCTCAGGAAGCCACGCAGTGGGACAGCCTGAAGCCTCCAGGAAAAGCCAGAATGGAACCCAGCCACATTCCACATGCTCTCGTTAGAACATTCTAGACCACTGCAGTCTAACTGAACATTCTGTGATGATGGACAGGTTTTCTGTCTGCACTGTTCAGTGGAGTGGCTGCAGGTGGCTAATGAGTACTTGAAATGAGGCTCGAGCGACAGACGAATTTTAATGTTAATTTAAATACCACACGTGCCTGAGGGCTACCCTAACTGGACTACGTAGCTCTAGCTCACCCAGAGGCTCTGAGCAAGAAAGTTCCAATGAGTGCAGACGTGTTCACTGTATGTCCAGATCATGAGCCAAATAGACACTTGCTCACACTTCAGAACACCAGCTCGAGGCGTTACTGACCCCAAGACTCTGGAGCATGGGCTCGAGCTCCCAGACCGCCCACCCCGAGAATGCCTCTGGCCACAGAGACCCTCTGTGCATGCCTCCAACCCGGCTCAGCACGGACATGGGACCCACGTTATGGGGAATAAAAACAGGTAAGCCGTGTCTTTTACTTCCCAGGCACCACAGCGCATCTGTCATGGTGCCAGGGAGTGAGGGCAAGCCATTCTGGTCGGGGAAGATTGGCGTGGCCACCTCAAAGGGCGCCCCTAGGGAAACACCACTCAGAACCCCAAACTCTAGGAGCCTGGCACCCCACCCTATTAGGAACAGTCAAGTCCTTCAAGCCCTGAGGCCCACACCCACACACTACCTCTTAGAGTCAGACCACAGGTTCTGTCCAGAGCAGGCCTCGACCAGTGTTTCCTCCCTGTCTAACTGGGAAGCCCTCGAGCTTCCCGAACAGGCCCCTTGCAAAGCAGAAGTCACCAGTCCCCAGCTCCACAATGCAGATGAGACAGGGATAAAGCAGCAGTCCAAGGTAGAAGCCATTAGTGAGCTGGCCAAACCAAGGTTGCTGGCTATACCTCGAGAAATCGCGAGATGTCCCTCTTGTCACTAACGCCCATGGCCACCACATTCTCAAAGAGCCAGAAGAAGGGGCGGTCATCTCCCTCCTTGGGCCGCGCATCATGCAGGAGGCGGTAGAACTCAAAGAAGAGCCGGCCAGTGCCCTCTGAGAGGTCGGAAGAGAAAGCCATCAGCTGGGGCTGTCTGCACGAGACAGTGGTGTGGCTCGGGCACAGGGAGGGCAAGGGAGGACAGGGTCATCGGGAGTAGCTGTCCCAGGGCAGAAATGTCCAAGTAGGAAACCTACGTGCGGAAGCACCAGCTCAGAAGGTGGAGGGGTGAGCACGGCACCTACCGTAGAGTCCTTTACGGGCAGGGTTGACGATGGAGAGATCATTGCAAGGACTGCCCCCAATCACCAGATCGAACGGGCCCCACTCCTGGATCTGGGAGGATAAAGGTAATGGGATGGCCTGATGTCCGGGGACAGAGGCAGAAAGGAAGAAGGAAGTTATCCGTGGACTTGGCTAAAAAAAGTACTTTGGCACCGGAGAGAGGAGACCCAGCTGCTCGGTATGCTCACTATACACCTTCATAAGTACATACTTCACACACACACACAGCACCACGGGCAAGTCACTGAGGCTCTCTGAGCTCAGTTTCCTAAACAAAGGGAAGGGATCCAGTTGGATCATCTCGGAGGCCAGCAGGGAGACAGCTGTGCTCCCAACACGAAAAGCAGCCACTTAGGGGGAAGGCGGTCCAGGCCGGGCAGCTGACCATGAAGGCATTTTGCGCTCTGTGCACTTTGGGCAGGGTGTCCGGGCCATCTGAATGCCCTCCAAACGCCCTTGGGGATCTCTGAGGGCCTGCAGTTTCAGGGTTGTAGACACAGTTAACTGGAAAGGCAAAGGGTCACCTGGGCAAGACCCTGCCAGAGTCCCCCCCAGAAACGGAGGCTGGTAAAGCTGTTGCCAAAAGTACTGGGAAAATGGGAACCAAAGCGCTCTGCTACAAAGGCCCTGAAGCTAGTCAGGGGGCAGCCGGAGCCTCAAAAGGCCAGCTCCCGGTTCCCACTGGAATCTGCCCATATTCCACACGGCAGAGAAGAGACTGGGAAAAAGGAGAAAGGAAAAGAGCAAATGAGCAAAATGCCAGGGGGCCGCCGCCGCCCCCAGGAGCAAAGTGCAAGGGACACAGAGAAGTGGGACGGGACCCACGACACTGACGTACATGCTTCTGCGTGACGCTGCGGACGTCCCCGACGTACATGATCTTCCCCTGGTGCCGCACCATGCCCACCGTGATGGAGTCCTCACACACCTCTGAGGCGATGTAGCGGTCCACCTGAATTCCCAAGTCCTTCAGCACCAGAAGCCCTGTGCCAGCCAGCGAAAGGCACGGTCACTGGGGCTCCTCCCCAGCACCCTGGTCTTCGCAGGGGGCTCTCCGGCCAGCCGGACACATGGGTCAGCAACAGGCCTGAGCCCTACCCTGCCCAGTGAGCTGCAGGATCCTTCTGGATCCCATTTCATACCTACTCTGATCTACTTAGAAGGCCGTCAAGACCAGACAATAGGTGGTTTCCAGGACCAGAGAGAACAGCAGGTGACTTTTTGGGTGGCCTTTTCTTTGCTGTTCCTACATCCTGCATAGACTGCTCCTTCCTCACCCCCCACCCATGGCCTCCTGCTGCACTTCATCCTCCAAGACTCAACATAAATGCCACCTGCTCCAAGAAGGTTTCATCAACACCCCCACACCGCACCCTGCAGCCCCGTGGAAGCAACCCCCTCCGCTGTAAGCCCCCCACGCTTTGCATCTCTCTCCAACTCCTCAGAACCCTGTGTATTCCTCATTCAGCTCTCCTCTTAGGTTGCAAATGCTCTTCAGAACAGAGGAGCTCACCCAGGTTTCCTCCCGAGCAAACTACACTCACTTCCTTACCATGACCCCTTCACAAATGTTTGCTGGATTGAGGGCAAGGAAACAATGAGAACAGACCCTGAGAGCCTCTGGAGAAATAGGGTTCAGCAGCACCATTTCCTGCTCCCAGAGACCTCCCCACCGAGGAGTTTTTCCAGCCTCTCGGGGTGTGGCGTGGTTTAAGAGGGCCTCCAGGTTCTGGCCTGGGAAACCAAGGCTGTAAATTAATTTCCCTAGGTTCATAGAATCTCAACACTAAGCCGAGAACAGAATATAAACATCTGGCCTGGGATGCCACCCCGCCCGGGCCCTCTGACAGCCCGTCTCCCTCCGGTCACGTGAAGACACCTGTTCTGAGGAGGTTATTCCTTTCTTAAGAACTGAGAAGCCGTCGGCCTGGGGCTATGGCAGGGGGGTGGGTATGTGTCAGGAGCACCTTGCGGGAGGGCTCTCGGGCAAGGTCAAGAACCATATGAAACAAACTTCCTACGCTGTGCCCCAGCTCTCCCTACAAGAGAGTAGTTTACGTATATAATGATGTGTGTGTAAGGATGCTTGTCACAGCGCTGCTCGTAACAGAGAAAAATAGTCAACAACCCAACAGAGGGTTAGTTACATAAATCATGGTACTTTTCACCCAGCGGAATCCTATGCAGCATTTACAAATAAAGGATGCAGTTCCATGTTAACATGAAAAAGCAGTCATGACAGCAAATGAAAAGGCGAGTTACAACACAGTGTGCGTTTTACTATACTCTCGTTTTATTTTTCTAGCTACGTAGGATTCTAGAAACACACATACATATATGCACGGAAAAAAAAACATCAAAGGATATTCACCAAAATGCTAATTATAGAATTATATATTATTCTTTACTCTCTTGTTTATCGTTTTTTTTTTTTTTTTTTTTACTGTGACTTACAGTCATCGTACGACAGAACACTGCCTATGTTTCCGTTCTGGTCGCCGAGTCTGTCCTTTGAGGCTTTGTGAAAATCTTCAATAATCTCTAATGATCACCCTGTCCAATGCTGGAGCTCACCACCCACCCCCCCCAACAAAGACACGTGCCTCCCGGACACAGCAGCTGACCACGATTTTACTTCTCACTCAACACAAATTTTCCTCGGCGGGGTACCAATTCAACGGCTGTCGTGTTAACTATGGTTTATCGTGTGAGAAACACACGCGGTCCCTCACGCGGAGCTCCCCTGCCCCGGGACAGGGACGGCAGCACCTCGTGGGGCTCGGGGGCCACACGCTCACCTGTAGCAATTCCGTCAAATAGAGACAGCACCCGGATGGGCTTCCTCTTCTCGGCTGGGACAGGTGGGTACACCTTCGGAGGGTCCTAGGTGGCGAGCACAACGGGCCAGGTAAGTGCCCAGGAGGATTCTGCAGGTGGGCACCCAGGGCTGGCCCCCCCAGCCCCGCCAGGACCGCTCTGGCTTCGGAACCCGCCCCCGCGAATGGCCCAGGCCCAGCACTCACAAATTCCTGGTCGTGGTTATTGGCGAAGAACATCTGGAGCCGCGAGGGCCAGTCGTCCCGCCGCCGCAGCAGCCCGTAGGTGCCCTTGTGCCCACACATGTAGCAGTTCCAGGGGTCCTCCTTGATGGCTGCCTGGGCAGCCCCTGGCCCCACCAAGAGGTCCACACACTCCACACAGAAGCACCTGAAAGGAAGCCCAGTGTAGCGGGGGGGGCAGAGGGGGGGCTTCTCAGCCCCCGAGGGAGCCTGGCCGGGGGTGGGGGGAGGGGGCGGGCCGGGGAGCCTCACCTGCAACAGTTGTTGTTCCCGCACATGAGCACCTCGCGCCCCCCGCAGCAGATTGTGCAGTACGACTGGTAGCCATCATCATCGTACTGGTACGCACACTCCAGGAAGCAATTCTAGAGGGCGGGGCGGTGGGGGGCACGTCAGAGACCCCTGGGCAGCACCCCACGCGGCCAGTGCGACGGCAGGCTTTGCGCCCGGCCTCTGGGCCCCGACCCAGGAACCGTAATCCGTCCTTGCGGGCGTGAGCCTGCCGCCTACTGAGCCACACGCGTGGGAAGGGACCAGCAGGTGTCCCGACCCAGAGCAGTGCGCAGAATCGGGAAGCCCCAGAGCGAGGCCAGAGAGGCAACTGCACCCCCTTGTCCCTCGCCACAGCCCTGGGCTCTCCTCCCGGGACCCCAAGGACGCGGCAACCCACCCACCCATCTGTCAGCCCCCTGCCCCACACCAGGGACTGTGACACGGTGAGCCCACGTCTGCGGACCAGAATGGGCTTTCGAGGGGGACAATCTTTCCGGGGAGGACAAATAACAGCAAGTCGAACGCTTCGAAGCCCACGGGCCTGTTTGATCAGGACTCTGCGTCCAGAGCAAACCGCGGGGTCACCACAGCAGCTACTCCAGGCGACAGCGAGCCCCAAGACGGGAGAAGGTATAGACCGCCGGGGGCTGTGCCCCTACCTTACAGTTTTGGCACATTCCTCCGATGAAGAGAGGGTGTTCCAGGGTGACGTTGAGGCTCCCACAAGAGATGCAAATGTCTGGAAAGCAGGGAGCGTGGAGAAAGCAGAGTGAATGTCTCCAAAGGGCCCCTTCCCACCTCGGCGCCTAAGCCCAGCTCCAAGAAGGGCTACAGGAAAAGGGCGTGTTGGAGCAGCAGCCCAAAAAGGAGGCAGACAGGAGTCTGGGAGGGTGCCCCATGGAGCAGGGGGGCACTGTGGCCCCAATCTCAATGCCCATTCAGCTCTCAGAGCGGCAATGCCACCCACCCAGAAAAGGCATAATTCGAGGACGGGAACGTCTGAGAAGAGGGCCGGGGCCCTGGGGGACTCTGGAGACAGTCCCTGGGCAGTCCTTAAATCTTATGCTCCTGCCCCCATCTTTGCCAGCCCTGCGATGCTCTAATGACCACTGGGGAACAGATGAGGAAAGGTAAAAGGCCAAAGGTCACAAGTTCAAGCAAATCCAAGAGAGGCCACCCTTCTCGGACCCACTGGAGTGTCCCAAACCCTAATGACCAGGGCCTGCCATTGATAGGAAAGTAAGATGGTGGCACCAGGAAGACAGCTATGTGGGTGAAGCGGGGTGGGGGTGGTGGGACGGGCAGGACAGAAGCCTTCACTGGGTACAGACGTCCCATGACGTTCAAACCTCCCTAAGGGCCTAGGCTACTCTGCACCAGGCCCCGCGCCAGGAGCCAAGCCCTCCAGCCAGTCCCGGGGGCAACAGACTACGGACTTCGCAGGGAGTCAACGGCTGTCGGGACTCACCCTCGATGTTCCGGCACTTCTGCCGCACCTCGTACACCAGCCGCTCTGCGGGGGGGAGGAGAGCCCAGCATCAGAGGGGGCCGTGAGGGCCACGGCCGCGCCTCTGAATGCCAGCCTCGCCGCGCCACTCTCTCCAAAGCCAGGCCAACTACCTCTTGTGCGTTCGTCAATTATCTCCTTGACCTTAGGCTTCTCCGTTGTGCTCTTTCGGGGCTTTTTGGCGGGTGGGGGTGGTGCATAGGCAGCTGCCTCGGGTTCGACCCACATGTCTGTGTAAACTTCTTTGTAGGGGTTCTTCTCTTCTGATGGAGAAAGCAGGTGACGAGATCACGGTCACCACCAACATGCAGTGCCGGCTTCCTCCCCTCCTCTATTCTGCCTACGAAGGGGCGCAGCCTGGTCCCCAACTTGTTCTAGCTCCCAGCTCTCCAGTGCCAGCAAACCAATGGGAGGAGCTTATCCTGAGTCCCCGAGCGGCCCTGCCCCTATCCTGACCCCAGAGAAAGGGAGACTGTGGCCACGCCCCCTGGGCCTCTCAACCAAACAGCTGGCAGCTCTCCCAGAAGGCTGGCCTGGGCACCTGCATTTACCTTCGGGTGGCTCCAGGCCCTTGGGGCCAGAGGGCTGGAACCCTCCGAGAGCCCACTCGATCATCTGTTTGTTCTGCACCTCCACGGCCTTGGCTGTGTCGCTCTCGTCGCTGTCATGGCATGCTGGGAACAGCTTCCCCGCGCGACTACTGGCCACCTGGAGGGCAGCACGTATGGGGGAGGGTGTCAGGACAGGCTGGAGGACAGCGAGGGCGGCCTGAGGCGAGTGCTGGGGAAAGGGGCAGGGGAGGGTCACAGGAGAGTGTCGGAGGAAGGGAGTGCAGAAAAGGGGTGAGTAATGGGGGGGACACGGGGGACAAAAGGGAGTCCCGGGGGCCTTGCAGGTGGACCTCTGCACTCCAGCTTCTAGACCAACTAGGAGTCCCTGCTGTCCAAGCCCCCTCTACCCGGAGGGGCACTCACCTGCAGGACTTCGTAGATGGCTTTGCGGTACATGGGCTGCTTGTTGTAGGTGGCCTGGTGGAAAGCACTGCAGAAGGAGCTCAGCGGCATCAGCTTCTCAACGCACACCTGGAGGAACGACCAACGCCCTCGCTTTCTCCTTCTGCCACACCCATCAAGCCCCCACCACGTGCCTGGCAAAGGGCAGGGACTGGGGCACTGAGACCCAGCCTCTGCCCTTGAGAGGACCAGATGGATTCATAAATAATTCTATGATGCTCAAAGGAAGAGTCCAACCCAAACGTGGGGGAGGACCTGAATGCAAGCAGGAAAGGAGTTCTGGGAGAAAGGGTCCTGGAAGGCAAGAGCTTGGCAGGCGCCCCAGCTCCGAGTCCCCCCAGGGCAGCCCACTTTTCTCTAGGGCTTCTTTTGGTCCCATGTGGAGAGTGGGGGCGAGCAGAGCCCACTTCTTCCACCGCAGTTCTGGACTGAGTCCCCAGCCCCAAACCACAGGCCCTGGGACCAAGACCCATCCCTCCCCGAGGCTACCACCAGACCCCAGGACTTACCACCGAGAACTTGCCGTCTCCAAACCACATGACCCAGCGGGTGCCTTCAGCTGCTCGGCTCCGGCCCGTCATCCACCAAGACACAATGCGGCCTGGCCACCAGGAGAAGCCCCGAAGTTTCCCCCACACCAGCTCCCCAATGCCAAAGCCCCGGCCGTCCTGGAGCCCCAAGGAGCAGAAGTCATTACGTGGTGGTCACGAGGCCCTGCCACCCTGACCCCCCCATGGCAACCCCAGCCCTGGGCATCTGAGGGTTGGGACAGCCAGGAGGGAGCTGCATCTGAACCGCCCGAGACAGAGCAAGACTGGGCAGACGAAGAGGCCTGGGGTCAGGTGGAGAGAGGAGAGCAGGACGGGAAGAGCTGGTAGTGGAAGGACCCAGGAAAGAGCTGGACGAGGCAGTTGAAGAAGCGAGCCGCTCACCTCGTACTCCGGCTCATCGTCGGCTGCTTTGGTGGTGTTCTTGTCCCCAGCGTCCGCCCCCACGGGCTCAGGTGTGGTGGCCACGGTGGGGGATGCAGGGTCGGTGGGCTGCTGCACTGCAGGAGGGCTGGCCTCCTCCACCTTCTGAGACTCGCCAGACCCCTGGTTTTCCTCCACAGCATTCATTACTGCAGTCACCTTGGCTTTCTTCTCAGCCTGGAGGAACAAGGAACAGAAGTTACCTTGACCTCTCCAGGTATTAGCAAGCAAGGCCGCTTGATACTGCGGGGGGGGGGGGGGTTCCTGCTCTTCTCAATCTCTTTGTGCTCTGGAGACAGTGACGGGAGGTAAAGGACTGAGTTCTTTGCTCATCAACTCAATTGGCTTGCCATGGAAAATGGGAAAATCTGAAGTTGGTCGGTGAACGCAAATCATTTGGCTGGTTTCCAACCTTCTCTTGTGCCTCTCCCGAAATCTTCCTCCATAGGTCAGCCTCCATCAGTTGCCCACCCTCTGACATGGAAAGAGTAATTCTAATCAAAGAGTAATCGTGCGTCTTAGCTTAGGCACAGATCTTGGCTCCGTCCTCTCCTATCTTACTTCCCAATCACGAATTGGATCCTCTCGTCCTTTTCACAATTTTCCCGGGCAATCAACCCCTTCTATTCCTGGTCTTGGCTTCCAGACCACAAATCCAGTTTGGTCGTGATGTCTACAGTGATGAAATCACTGCTCCGTGTCCCCCTCTGCTCAAACACCACCACAAGCCCCTAAAGAGCTTGCCTGCTCCCACGCCATTCTGGAATCTTAGGATTCTATCAAATGTATGTTATCAGATTCACCCATTCTTTCTACACACACATTTCAGATCCATCAATACATTTATTCTTTCAACAACAGTTTACTGAGAACACACTACAGGCCATGCATCCTCTCTGCTATCCTGATAAATTAACAATCCACACCCAATCGTGCTCCCATTTGGGCAGCCTCCATCCATTCACTGTCTCACGCTCATCCTTCCCAAAGCCTGCTCCAGGATTCCCATCACCCTACAGAAGAGAATGAAATCCTTGCTCCTTAGCCCTGAGAATCATTCAACCTAATCTCACCCCAGCGACTGAATCCGAGGGACCCGTGAACTCAAACTTTAAGGCTCTGCACCTGTTTCCACCACATTCAGTGAAAAACCTCCCATCTTCAACATGGCTTTCAACATGAAGCTTTCCCAGAGAGTTTAGAGCTGGGAATGCAAAGCCCACCCTCAAGACTAAACAAGAACATCAGAAAGTAACTGGGAGTATAAGAACTCTAAGCTAGAAGGCAGAGGATCTGCATTCCTGTCTTCGCTTTGCAACTCACTGAACAGCAGATTCTGGAGCAGTCCTTGCTCTTCCAAGTTGCTTCAACCTAAAAAAGCCTTTCATCTAAAGGATTTCCGTTACACTTTTCTGACTGGCTTAAGAATCTGATGTATGTAAGTATCAAGAATGCCAAGGACTCTCCCAAGTTGCCAATGGACTCCCAGATCCCAGGGCCCCAGGTTAAGAACCTTTGTGTTGTGCTCAAGGTCTACTGTGTTGTAGAGTCATTTTTGTTTCAGTCTCATGTCTTTGCCTCCAGGCCACCAACCAAACCTGCTTCCGGTAGAGTCCTTGAATACTGAGGATGGAAATCCTAGTTCTTTCCGTGATTCAACAAATTCTAAGATGGGATAATGCATCCTTTGCCCCCAGCCCACAAACAGCTGGGCAAAGGAGCAGGAAGCCGGTGGTGGGAGAATACAGAGCAACTGCTCTTCCCTCCCAAGCCCCTTCTCTCACCTGCTGGGACTTTGCCCTCCCCTTCCCACTATCAATTATCTACCACCCCCTCCCCCATAAGAAGATGCACCTAGGTGTGCACTCAAGCCCATCCTCTTCTAGGGATGCACTATTAAAGCCCCAGATCCGCTCACAGAGAAACTCCACACCTCCTTGAAATTCAGGCATGGCTGACTGACCTAGACCAGGGTGCTGCCATGGGTGACCCCAAGACCCCGCTTCAGGGATGATGAGGCCCCTCGGCCAGAACAAGGTGCAGGTGGCAGAGGGCGGGAGGGGCCTTCTGAGGAAAGGTGAAGTCACCTGCACAGCAAGCGGGTGCCGGGCTCCCCAGGTCTAGAAGGGAGTCGTGCCTGATGCCACCCTCCTCACTCCCCCACAGCCCCTTTGTCTCTCTTCTCAACCTCTCCACAGCGAGTTCCTAAACATTATTCTTCCCCCACAACTTCCCCCAGCTTGTCAGACGCTGCTGCTGACGGCTGTTAAGCGCCCCCAGCCCACTAGGTGCAGGAGAACACGCACCCAGCAGGGTTTTGGCAGGCGGAGGAGGAGGAAGAAGGGGGCCTCCGTCGGGACGAGGCCAGCAGGGGTGGGGGAAGGAGGAAGGGGGTGGGTTAGCAGCGGGAGGCAGGAGGAAAGGGGAAGAAGTGGCAGAGATGGTGGCTGGGTGGGGGAGGGGCCTCATTAGAATAGTCTGCCTAGGGCAGTGTGGGAATGCCTTTTTTCCACGCTCACTCCGACCCTCCTCCCCAGGCAAACAATGGGAGAAAGAAGGGTTAACTCAGGGCTTTGGCATTTGGGCTAAAGGCTCCTACCCCCAGTTCTCGAGGTCCTACGAGGTCCTACTCCACAGCGGCCCAGAGATGGGGCAGTCCCAGGGAGACACCACCCCAGCCCCCACTATCGTGGCTCAAGGAAGCCACTTCGTCTGGAGTTTGTCCAGCCTGGAAAGCCATTGGTAACTCCACTCGAGTAGAGGCAAGGCCTCCCCGACCAGTCCCATCTTCCTGGGCGGCTGTCCCGCCTCCGCCTTCCTCTGCGACACAGGCTGCTTCCCGTTCCAAAGGTCAGAGGTCTGGGCGCCCATGCGGACTCCCCGCTGGTGCAGTGGATCCCAGGCTGTCCCAGGCACCTCTCCCATCACAGGCGGGCGTCGTCAGGCTGCCCCCACCCCCCACGGCCCCCGCTGATGTGCCACAGCCCCTGTCAGGGTCACACTGCTCCCTCCCACCCAGCACCACTTCTCTCTGCGGGCCTGCCCGCTGGCTCCCAGGGACACGCACGAGAGGAACTGTCCCTCCCAAGAGGCCGCAAGGTGGGCATGGCCCAAGGACAGCATGGTCCACCAGCCAGGAGCACAGGTCCGCAAGGAAATGCCAACAGCCCATCAGCCGGCCAGCTCAGCAGGGGCGCTCCTTGCAGCCCAACTCCTGGTCTCCCAGCTCCCCCTGGGCCAGGGCCTGCCCCCCAGCCTTCATTGACTACTGCCCCAGGCTCACACGCTGGGGCTGCTCTTCTGGCCTCTGCACCGCCAGGTCCCACCTGAGCGCTGGGAGGAGCGGGGCTTGGGGCTCCTGAGGAGGGAGTGGGTGGGACAGCACTAACTCAGCATCTCCAGAACTCGGGCCAGGCAGAGCAACCAGCTCCTGCGGGCCAGGGAGGCATACTTTGACTCTTCGCAAATCCAGAGGGCTGCAGCGGCCCAGAGATCCTCCCACCGGCCCCTGCCGCCTCCCCGCCCCCAGTCTCCCCAGGGCTCCGTCCAGGAACCTACCCATAAGGCCAGGTGCAGCCCCTCTGTGGTCCGGCTCAGGTGTGAGCCCCGGCCCTGA